CCGATGAAATGCAGCGCCAAACATCACACTAACTTCCCACTTGAGTAATAATAATTGTACTTATAAAAGTACGTATTTTTGATTGCATGGTTTCTTGTATCATTAAACGTCGTGTTGTTTTGTGTATTATTTGGTGTCCATATCTTATTTGTCCAGAGAAAAGAAAATTTGGCTTTGTTAATTGGTTGGTGCCCGCCACGATCTCATAAACTTTCAAATGTGCCCGGAGGCACAAAAAGGTTGGGGACCGCTGTTCTATTCAGTCTGTATTTGATGTAGACCTAGTATGCAGTGTGATAACATAGCTGTTTGATTTTGCTTATTTTCTTATGTCTTTCAGTTCGGCTACATGACAGCATACAAGAAGAAAACTTCCACTATCTAGTGTTTGATTTGTAAGTACACTAAAGATCTCCATTAATATTTCTTATAGTTAAGTTATTGAATGACTGAAATCTTACGTTTTGTTGAATAATCATGTTGATAACTGCGCCAAATTTAAAATTTTAATTATTCGTGTTAACGTTAATGAGCACTGTTTTGTGATAAATCAATATTATTTTATTTTGGGAGCAAATACATTTTGCCGAAGGAAATTAAAACATTTTTTATTCTGTGTTCCTGAGATAACTTATTTTTAAGGATACTTGAAATTAAAAAGAAATAACACTGCACAGGAAGTCCAGTTTTATACATTAAAATATCTACAATGTATCACAGAAGATCCTCAGTTTGGCACATAACTGATAACTACTGCTATTTGTCCTGTCTTTCTCGTATTAGTGCCACATTGGAGACGTTATATTGAAATTGTACTAATTGTTATTTAATATATGATCATTAATGATTTGCCCTTGGCATTGTCCTCTAATTTGTCTTCTCCTTTGGTTATTTTGCATCAAAGATAAGTTATTATATAAATGTATAAATTTATTGTATAAAATGTTAATTCAGTATTTGTGTTTGCTATTTTCATGTTATCTTCCTCAGAGTGACGGGTGGGGAACTCTTTGAAGACATCGTCGCACGAGAATTCTACAGTGAAGCAGATGCATCTCATTGTATCCAACAGATCCTGGAAAGTGTCAATCATTGTCATCAAAATGGAGTTGTTCATAGAGATCTAAAAGTAAGACTGAAATTTAAACTGTTTCTATGTATGATCTCCAATTTGTTGAATGATTGATACTAACAGATCATTAACACGTTTTTCTGTTCTTGTTTTTCGCTTTTTCTTCCATAGCCTGAAAACTTATTATTAGCGAGTAAACAAAAAGGTGCAGCCGTTAAGCTTGCTGACTTTGGTTTAGCGATTGAAGTACAAGGAGAACAGCAAGCGTGGTTTGGTATGTTCAGATTTTTATGTTCTTCCTTAAAGTTTTTGTGAATTCCTCATGTTTTACAGACTGTTCTGTGGAAGTGCTTTAGTAAGTGGCTTTGAACATGAGGTCACAGTTCACTTACTAGAAGCTTAATATCCTAATTTAAAAGACAAAATAAAGGCATTTAACATAACTCTGCAAATTTTAAACCCTCGTGTGAAAAGCTTGTTCAGTTTAGGTGTCATAAAATTATGGTCTCTCAAAAGTGATTAAACCCTTGTCATATTTGTTTATATATATATACATATATATATATATGTGTGTGTGTGGAACGGACTTGATATGGGGGAAATCTGAAGTGGGAAGTAGATTTCCCACTGCCCACGGAAGGGTTTAAAAAACTCTCACCTGTATTTCTCAAACTTTAACACCAATTAAAACACTTATATAAATATTGATAGAAACAAAACAAATGTCAGGGCTGAGTTTGTTGTAGAGAGATTGAAAATTTTTGACTTTTTCTAACTGCATCCGCCTGACGCATTTCTTCAAAATTTGAAGTTCCGTCTTACCCGGGATGTGACAGTACTACTTTAACGTACAACAGTGTAACTGAGTGATAGAAGATGATAATATGCCGAGGCATGTGATAAGCCGTGCCTCAGAAACTCTTAAGTGCACATCCCACACAGGTAACGAATCAAACCCTGAATTGTCGGTACACGATTGCAATTTCATGTATAAAAAAAGGGAAAGGACAGAGGTCTACAAATGTTTACAAAAAATATACATAAATAATAATAATAGTAATAATAATAATGATAATGATGATGACGACGACTATGACAGAAGGGACGAGGATAAATTAGCTACTGTATTCACTCAGTTTCTGAAGTTCAAGTTGCTTTATCACTAAAAGGAAACATCAGTCTTCGTATGAATTGCTTTCTGCCGACGGTATAAAATAATCTCTTTCTTTCTTCCAGCAGATTTCACTGTTTGACCAATTCCAAAAATAAATAAAGGAACATTTCTTTGTTACCAACAAATAATTAAATAACTGGCTGTGCTGATGTTGTATATCAACACATTTAAGAATACTTGATATTTGAACTCACTCTGCAGATCCACGACCATAATGGTATCGTGTCCTCGTATTTCACTGAATTTCAACGACGCACGAGTCACAATTCGCAAATTGTTCCTGACCCAGAGCAGCAGAAAACTGTTTACGTGCACTCGATCACATGAGGCTGTGACGTTTCGATCACGCTAGGCCTTGGCGCATCTGAACTGCTCATGTTGGCAGTCGTGATGCAATGTTGGGTTTGTTGAGCATCGTACGAATCCCTCGAATCCATATCAGGAATCTCTTTTTCTAAACTCCCTGCAATCAGCAAAAATAATGTTTAGCACTGTACAAAACAATGACATTCTCATGTAAAAAGGGAAACGACATTGTGATTATAGACTGACAAATAAGCTTCCAATTTTCACTTCTACGCACAGTCATTTGTTCCTCTCCACACGCGAATCAGTTCCTACAGACAATGAGAAGATAAAGAAACTGTAAATTCCTCTTGACAAAGCTTATTTTTATTGATACTTATGTTTGGAATTACGTTAAATATTAAACAATTATATGGAATGTGGTCTTGCAATCTTGCAGATGATCACCAATTAATCTCCTACAGGACTGTACAGTATGGTCCAGTCATCGCTGCCAAAAAGAGCGAAATGAGAACTCCGTGTTTTACGTTTTGCGGACAGCTGCCTTAAAAAAATTTGTACGTTGTTTCTCACATGCAAAATAGTGCACAGCATACAGAACACTCTGTAATCATGGCAAGTAACCCACTAGAATATAATAAATTGGTGTAAACATTATTTTGAGATTACTGAATTTTTGTTTCCAAAACACAGCATTAATTCATTTGTTGTTCATAAAATTTACTGTCATGTTGGGACAAACATTCATGTAGGCAAAAAAATGTTTTATCTAATATTGCTTTCTCATCAGTTTTGTGTATCATTCATGTTTAGGCACAAAGTGTTAACAGAGATCATGGAAGGATTGATAATATTGTGTTCAAAAGACTTAAAAAGGTGTTTGTTTATTTTTATTACTGTAATTATTTAAATTTAAAATTTTCCACAGTGTTTCTATTCCTGAGTTAGTTTGTTTCATGTTTATAAATCTGAGAGCTTATTAAATTATTTGTGCAATTGTCGAGAGTTGCTTCCAGATTAATAAACATCACTTCCTAACTACTAATATACTGTGAATGATTCCAGTGCTGTGTTTCTGAAACATATTCTGTCAAGTTGATTGGGGTTAATTTATAAGCTTAAGGATCTGTGACAAGGAAACTTCAGTTTAAAATAATTTGCATTGTGACAGTGATTTATCTGGAAAACGGATTTGCAACAAACTTACAAAGTTGTTTCAAATTTATTTCATCTGAACTGACCCAAGTTATCTGTGTAGTATGAACCACCCAACCGGCAGACTTACGGGCATGTCCGTGTGTGCATTTTGGCTGATGTCAAACGATTATGATACAGAGTTGTGAACTCAACTATGTTTTGATGTCACCAGGCTTTGCTGGTACGCCTGGTTACCTCTCACCAGAGGTGTTAAAAAAAGAACCCTATGGAAAGCCAGTTGACATATGGGCCTGTGGTAAGTTTACATTTTGATTCTGCAGTTTAGGTATGTATGTTTAAGACTTATGTTCCTTCCAGATTTACATTCTTTATCATTTAATTTATCTACAGTTTTTGTACTTTTATTTAACAGTCATGTATGTTACTTGACTTAATAATATTTATTTTTGGTGCATTTACAACAGAAATTTGCACCGATTAGCCTGGTCATCATTCTTTATCTGTCTGTCCACATGTATCAATTTAAGAACTGCTGAATGGACTTTCATTAACTTTTATATTTGGGAATTTTATTAAAATTTGTTAATGTGTTACAGTTTTGGTTAAAATCGGACAATGGCAATGAACACTTAAATGCAGATCTACATACATTTCAGCTCACATCTGATTCTAAACTTGCTAAATATTTATTAGAGTGAAAAATATTTGGGATGAAACTTATAAAACAAAATAAGCATATTTTATGCTGAGTATGCTTTTCCTGCGTCCCGTGCAGTAGCCGCATAGTCTGAGGCATCATGCTTCGGACCGGCGATACGGAATGCGCACTGGTTCGAGTCTCGGGGGAGAAGAAATTTTCTCATGAGCTTTCGATCAGTGTATGGGACTGGTGCCAACCCAGCATCGTGAGGAAATTGGGGAGCTACAATGAGTAGCGTAATCTGGTCATGAAAACTAGCAATGGCTGGGGGTTCGTCGTGCTGACCACACGTCACCCTATATCTGGTTGGTTGATCGTTCACCTCTGCTTAGGCATGTGAACGTGAGGCCAGCAGTCAAGCTAGTTGGCTTTGGCTCTCTGGAGCTGTTACGCCACGGATTTAATTTTAATGCTTTTCCTGTAAGTGTTGTGATGTTTTAGATAAATAAGCAAATGTGATTTTTATGCCATGCTGTCTCATAACTTGAGAACCCTTGGACTGATTTTGATCAAATTTTATGTTGGAGTTGGAGGCCCTTGCTCATCTGCCACACCTGTTTTACATAATTAGAAGATACCATTGGAAGTCACCATTCATAAATTGAAAATCTAGAAGCAATAACAGAGTGAATGTATCAGAATTGTTATGCCATGGGTGCATTTCCTAACTTGCTTGACATTTTGACATTGTATTCTTTAATTATATTGGAAGTATAACATCTTAAAGGTAGTATAATCTAAAGTTATTAAATCACCTGGTAGGTTTACAGTTCACATGTGATTCTAATGAGGATATAATTATAGTCTACACAGGAATCATCACCTGCATGCACACAGGCACCTTGGTGTCTTCGGAAGGAATATGTTCTAGCTGCGAGAGTTTTAGAATTTTATAAGGAGTTTTAAGTTTTAATCTGATCTATTTCTTTGTGAGCCACTTTGTGTAGCAGATGCAAGACCACAGTCACAGTATAATTATTTCCATTTGCAACTTTTTTTAGGGGTGTTGGTGGTGGTGGTATAGATCTATATGGTGCCTGCTAAAAATTATGAGCTTTTTATAGTTGCCCATCATGCAAAAAACGTTGGCGATTCCTGGTCTCTAGAAGTAATCTGTGAAGAACTGAAGACGGCCTGCCTGACCTTAACCATTCTGTGTCACTACCATTCTCATTCTTTCTGTGAATGCTTCTATTCTGATTTTAAGTTATCTTGTGTGAAATACTGTAACTATTAGTGTTCTCATAGAAACATTTTATAACTTAATTTGAGCTATTTTGTATTAATATTGCTGATAATTTTAGAGTTTTGTGATGAATTAAAATTGTTATTACAGTGCCTTTTCACACATAATATTTTGAAGAGAAATTATGGTCTACTGAATGTTAAGATGCTATCTAAATATATAAATAACTGCACTCTTATATTCTATGTAGCAGCTGGGAAATATCAAATCATGTCTGAAATTACACATGGCAACTGTACTGGTGTCCATGATGTTATCAGTTGTCATGTGTATACCACCGGTTTGAACGATGTGTTGGACTGAAAGAACAGTCGGCTTGAAATGATACTTGACTAAATTGTTTAACTGTCAGTTTGTTACACATTGTATATCTGTTTTTTTTACAGGAGTGATATTATACATATTGCTAGTTGGATATCCTCCTTTTTGGGATGAGGATCAGCATCGACTATATGCACAAATAAAGGCGGGTGCATACGATGTGAGTTAATGAGAATATATGTTTTGGAGAAGAGAACTTGTCATGCATAATTTCATGTGATTCTTGGTGTGGACACTGGACGTTCCAATGGTTGTAAAATGACTCTGAGCTTGAACTATGTCACAGTGTAAGGGGAAGATGGTAAAGAGTGTCTGAGCATGTATAGTGTAAATGAAATTTAACACAATTCGTGGAATTCTTTATACACCAACCGTACACTACACTGTACTTTGTGAACTAAAGGAACTATAAAAAATCTAGCACTGCAGGCACATGCCTTAATCTGTAGGTGCTACTTCTACATCCTAGATGTAATTTCACATCCTGTAGTACAAGGAACAATTGGGTTATCTATGTGTGTGCTGTCTTCCTTTCCCTCTCGCACATGGATTTGTAATGGTCAGTAAAGCTTGGAGTTACTTTGTTTTTGATGAAAGAGTGACAATTACCATATTTACAAATAACATGTGTTTTCTGTATTTTGTGCCTCTGATTTGTAAAATATTTGTTCTATGAAGAATTGTATATTAAGATCTGTCATTCATGTTTTTACTTCTAGTATCCCTCACCAGAATGGGACACAGTAACACCAGAAGCAAAGAACCTGATCAACCAAATGTTGACAGTCAACCCTACGAAGAGAATTACGGCCTCAGAGGCTTTGAAACATCCATGGATCTGCGTATGTATATGCTTTTAATTTACACTTTTTCTGAAGGGATTAGTTTTAGGGACTTTGTCATCAAGTAACAATGAGGACAGCCTCATATAATCATTGCATGTTCATTTCTTTCAACCTGGAACTGTGTCTAGATCACCCCAACACTTTCATTTTTGACTATGGCCATGTGTGTGCTGGAAAATGGAAGGGAGAAAGAAACTGTGTGCTGCTGTGTATAAATTTGTTATGCATATTATGTGTTTTAAATAGATACTCAGCAGTAAACATTTTCAGTAGTATTTTTTTTTTTCATAGCGTGGTTTGTGTTCTGGATAGAAAATATTATGATGTGTACTGTATATTACTTATTTCGAAGTAACTTTGTTAAATTGATACCTTCATAAAACAACATTTTCAGGTCCCTTGATATTCTGTTATAAGTATTTATAACTGTAGTTCATTGCGTGCACTGAGATAGGTCTGATTCTGTTGTGACTGTATAGTTACTAACAAGATTATGTTTATTTTATTTCAGCAAAGGGAACGTGTGGCTTCTGTTGTTCACAGACAAGAAACTGTGGACTGCTTGAAGAAGTTCAATGCAAGGCGTAAACTGAAGGTGTGTATTATGATTATTAGTACACTATTTTGTTTCTCCATTGAGTAATAAAATTTAAATTGATCTCTAATTTTGGGTTATTAATTCACTAGGAAAGAATTGGATTTCATTTTACAGGTTGCTGTAAAATGAAATTCATGCATTAAAGCTATAACATCTGATGTGTGGCATCTGTTGCTCTCCTTTATTTTAGGACGCCAGATTGTGAAAAGTGTTGCTGCCTTACCAAGTAGTGTCTCAGTAACCTGTGTGATAGATCTTACATAAATCGTGGGAGTAAATTCAAACTGTATTTGAGATAACAATAATTTATTTGGCCTAAAAGTATCTTAAAATCATACTTCCTAAAGAGTGTCATGGATGTGTATTTCATTCTTTACATGTTTGTCAAATCTAGCCCAAAGTAAGAATGTGAATAAACATGAAAGTGAATTTGGTTGGCAGCTGATATCTGCTACCCTAATACCGAGGAAAGTAAGTTAGATAAGTTAATATAGAGTATTTAGTATAAAAGTTGTATATAACATGAATGAAAATCAAAGTTATATTTTACTGTTATCAGCTGAAATTAAATTCACCCAGTAGTTTCGGAGGTGAAGTATTTAGACACAGTCATACTTGACCTCCCCATTATGACTTTATTTCATACACTTTGTGCAAATAACACATAAAAACTTACATCCTCTGATGTTTTGTTCTTGCCACTTGGCTTCTTGTTTGTTTCATACGCAGGGTGCGATCCTTACAACGATGCTAGCAACCCGTAACTTTTCCAGTAAGTATGATGCCCAGGGTAAGTACCTCCGGACCCCACGTACAAAGAAAAGTGATAGGAACAGACTGTGTCAGGCAGTTGTATGGTATGGTTCTGCCATTCACCAGAATCTTCTCTTCATTAGTCATGTCTTTGATGTTGAATCCTTATCCAAGCAATGTTTCATTCCTGATCATACTTCATGATACAGATTTTGGAGTGATATCTTTATACTTCTGCATGATGTGAGGTTTAAGTGAGCTTTCACTATGCAGAATTAACATACTGGAAGAGTTTCTTAAATGAATACAGTATTATCCAAGTTTCAGTTGTATATATGGTAGTAATATTGTTTATTACATTCAAGACTGTATTTTGTACCTCCTTAGTAACATTTTAAGTAACATGATAGTTTCCTTTATCATAGAATTATATTGCCTACTTAAGTAACTATATTTTGATAATATTATGTAGTGTATCACTTACTTTCTCATTCACTCACTTCATTGATTCACTTGTCTGTTCACTAACTCAATATAAACTTGTCCATTGGCTATACAAACTGAAGTGACAAGAATTATATGTGGAATAATATGTACTTGGTTCATGATGACTGATACTATCTTCTGGTGTCCGAATGCTTCCAATATAGTTGTCTGATTTATCAGGTACTGAGCCTTCATGCTTCAGCAAGAGTATAGTCTTTGTCTTTCTTAGTCCATGCAGGCAAGTGGGTACGTTATCTACAAAAAGGTCCGTGGCTCACTGCCTTCTTGTTCTCTTCCCATTTGAACAGTCATGCATGCAGAACCTTACTTTTCATAGCATTGTATTTTCTCTGGGATATTGACAGATAGTACCGGCTTTGACACATGTTCAGATACTCATTATTTGTATATATCTGCAGTACCAGCAACTGAGGACGGTGGACAAAATGGTACTTGCTGTCAGGAAATTCTCTCTATATAAACTGTATTCCAGTATGTTAAATTACTAATCTTCAGCTTTTTGCTCCAAAAGTGTGTCATGTGTTGTAGGTTGTAAGAATGCCTTTGGGTATTGAAGGACTAATGAATGATAAATATTTGCTAAGTACTTCTGAAATTTTGTACATACTTTGTGTTCAGACACCTAACAGAATCATTTAAATTTTGAAACAGTTTATGTGTCCAAGCACGTGCAATGTCAAATAACAGAGAATATGAATCTTTGTCACAATTAAAATGTACTGTGAAATTCTGCAAAACAGATATTAAACACATTGAAATTTGTTAGTAAATAAAGTACAAGTAGATATAATTTGCATCTTTTCAGCTGTTCAGCAGCTCAGTGGGTTAACTGACATATACAGTCTTTAACATTCATTTTTAACAAAAACACATAATGGCACATTGTATGAATCATACTTTTATTTTGGAGATGGGGCCTATTTTGTGTCTTCTCAGGCTGTTTTGAAATATTCCCAAGAATTTCAGCATTGCACTGTTATCATGAAGCATTATGTGTGTTGTTTTTCATTTCACCTATGTGATCAGCCAATCCTCTTTCAGTCTATTGAAATTTGCCACTTTTGGGTGTCTGAATGATTACCTGATTTCGGTCTATTGAAATTTGGCACTTTTGGGTGTCTGAATGATTACCTGGCCATGTTGGTTTCCATGAAAGGGTTTCTTGGTGCCTTCAATCTCCCATAAATTTTTAGGTATTTAACTTTTCTTCTGTTGCTCCATTATGGTTTCTTCAGCAGTTTCAACCAGTTTTAACATAAAGATCTGAAATTATACCATTCAGAAACACCTTTTGCTTGGTGTGAAAAAGGAAAGGAATGGTTTCCGAATATGAATGGTTCCGCTAGTGAATTGTAAACTGTTACAGTTAAAAAATGTGCACAATTTCAAACACAACATTGGTTTGTAATTTGATAAAAATTCAACACAAATTTAACAGAAAATTATAAGTTCAGTGTTTGTTGTCACAAAACATGGGCATTACTTATATTCACATAAGTTCAGTACTAAATTACAGAGCAGGCAAGGAAATTTGATTTTTATTCTTCTTCTAGCATCATTTCTGTTTATTGGGTTGGTGTCTCTGATGTTTCAAATACTGTTAAATTCAAGTTAAGGGTTTGACTGGATGAAAGATTGTATTATATGACTCTACACACTCTCTTTATATCTGCAGGTTTTCTCATAATGCTGTGCTGCTTTAGGTATATTGGCCATCATAAAGTATATTTCATAAAAGATTGTCCATTTCTAGTCCTTGGTGATATAGAAATTATTGTTATGGATCTCAGTTTGAATTTATTATATTTAATTAAGGAGGCTTAATAAGGTGACTGAACTTAACAGTGAGGGCTCACCTCCTTTCAGGTAGATTGGAAAATTTTCTTTTTATCCCCAAAGCCTAATATCCACACCCAGGTAGCCAATAGATAATGTCGCATATCCTCTGCAGTGGCAATGGGGGTGTGAAATTGTTGCAGTTTGAGGTTGATCAGTGCTAGGTTGTGAATGTATGGAGCTTTAGCTCCATACATTTTGTATGCCTTCATTAGCGAGATTTCAGATTCACAGATAGTTATTAACTTTATTTAATTTGTATATTCATTCTCAGCATGCTGAATTATGATTCCTGTAAATCTTACCTCTCTCTAATAATCTGTTTGATATCTGAAAGTCTTGGACTAGAGTCACTTTAATTACAGTCATTTTGTTTGGTTGATGAATAGCAGAATGATGATGTCCCATACATACAGCAGGATCTAAACAATTATAATTTGTGATATACTCAAATATTGCCCTTAGATTTGTACCTCAACATTTGAAAATCAACTGAGTATTGTTGTAAACGTACATACAGTGCCAAATATTATAGATATGTAGAAATCAACACACATTTTGATATTTGTAGTTACTATGCACTAAAAAGAGCACTAAATTTCACTTACTAACATCTGTAAAATGTATTATCACTGTAATCTTAGAAATTGAGAAACCTTTATTTTTGCTAGCATTTATATTTTTTTCACTTCAAACCTGTTTCAAAATAGATATTAGAAATGTATACACGTTTTCTTTTCTCATTATTATGAGAGAGAATTTTAATATCAGTTAAACAAAACATGTTTTGTGTTTGACTGACCACCTGTCTATGGAATCCTACCAAATGCCTAAAAGGATTCAGAATTTCAGAAGCACTTCTGAATTGGAACAGGCTGTAAGGTCTAATCAAAATATCTAGAAGAAGCGTTATAGAAAATGCACTTTAATATCACTGGCATTCTTAGATTGTAGCACCTCAGTGTTGGTTTATTGTTCTTGTTCTCATGTGTCTTCATCACTTCTTACAGTTGATATAAAACGTCTCACATACACTTAATTATAAGCAAGTGTGATTACAATATATATTTTTGTTGAACACTTCACATTTTTATTAGTATTTTAGAGCAAATAAGTAGTAAAATTAGATTGCTTTCCATTAGATATTTGTAATTGTACATAAATGTTGGATGTACCAATTTGTTAATTGCATTTTGATTGAGTAATGCAGAAACATACACATAAATGTTTGTAATGGAGGAAAAAAGTTGTAGTTTGAAAATAGTTTTCACAAACACATTATGTTTCGTTGGATTGATGGATCCTAATTTTACTGCCCTTCCAGTTTCCTGTCCGTAAATAGGTAGATGCTTTAATTTTGACACTTATTATATTTCACAATGAACAGAAATAATTCACAAGCATTATTAGTTTGTTGTAAATTAGACTTTTTTACATATATATTTCTCGTTATTTTTGTATGAATAATCATATTTCCTGAAGCAAACAAAAAAGATATAAGATGGTGTATACATGCTACATTATTTATCCTGCAATACTTGGCTCTTCCCAGAAATCAGACATTACAGGCTATTCCCATTGAAGTGTTTTGTGACTTTTTCAGTAAAACTAGGCAAATACTGCTATAGTATAAGCACTGAAGGATTATTTCTGTTTGTTGTTTGTGGTGGTAAAATGTAGAATGGTTTCTGAGTAGTGAAACCATGACCCTTAGCACTCAGTTTTCTCTTGTTGATTCTGTCACTACAGTCAAACACTTAATTTATCATGCACATAAAATAATAGCTTAAATTGTTTATAAACATGGGGGGTTTCTAGTAGCACAATTTTAGTTAGGTTGTAGTTTAAATATTATTTTCCCCTATTATGGCAGGGTACTTAAATGCTTATCATGAACTACAGTGTTATAGTGAAATAGTAAGATTGTCTCCCTCTGCATGAATTCTTAAGGTTTATGCCTACTTCTTGAAAGAACTTTGAAGAGAAAATGTTAATTCGCTTTGCCACCAGCAGTTGACCCCCTCTATCATTCAGAGTGTAATTTGGTGGTTGATTTGCTAGTGGTATAGTACATCTATCAATTTACCTCATCAGAGGTCCTTTAGTTCTCTGATGTCTGGTATGAATGATGATGTCTCTTGAAATGGAGTTAGTCTCTTATTCTTATTACAAGGGTGCAATTAGAATTTCTCATCGTAGGGTTTTGGTCTGTCTTTCATGTTTGGATGTTATGAAGTAGGTATTTATGTTAGAAAGATATTTATGTTCTTACACAGTAAGTATGGTATTATCCATAAGCTGTAAAAATGCTTCCATTCTTGGGATAACCAAACATTGTAAATCCTATGAACTTTGTAGGGTTAGGCCATTAGGGCCTGTTCCTATGACTCCAAAGATGAACTACACCTCTCCTTCATTATTTTTTGTTTAGTCGTAGATAACTATGTCTCTTTGCCACTTATATCTCTCCAATTGCAAGTGTAACATTTATTTTTCTGTTGTCAGAATTTATTTGGTTAGAATACGTGAAGGGAAGAACCGTTAGGGAGACCTGGGAATAGATGGGATGATATTATAATGTGATTTAAAGAAGCAGGGCTTGAGGATGTGAACTGGATTCTTATATGCCGGGTTTAGTGGTGGGCTGTTGTGAGCATGGTAATGAGCCTTCAAGTTTCATAACATATATATTTT